CAAGTTTGTATCTTGTTGGTCGAACGCACTTATTGTAATTCTCTTTGGATAAAAGCGTCAGCTAAATTCAATGTAATGTAATGTAATCCTAGTCCTTGTTATTTATATGTCCTTAATAATTATAAATGCAGGCATCCTCATTAAGATCAGACACTAAGGATGCATCCCTTTTGCAATTAGATGGAGCATTGCTTTGAATTTAAGGGGAATCTGTGGGGATGTAACTTCAAAATGTTCTAAAACTGGGAAAAAGGAAAAAAAACAGGGGTGAAGGAATGCAATTATGTATGCATTAGTATTTGTAAGTATCAATACTGTAGCATGTAGATAAGAATAAAATAGGCCCAATTATTGGTCCTTGAGGAACTCCACAGGTCAGAGAAACGCACCATTACAACCAGAAATACAAACAAATAAATTATAGGAACTCACTGTGCCAGTTCTCAGACAAACAAGGCAATTATTATGAACAGCATCAACGGCAGAATTTAAAATGAAGAAGTACGCAAATGTATCTGTGACTGACCCAATGTCAATGAATGCCTCCTTTGTGTTTAGCTCCCCGTGAAAAGAGACAGAACTGAGAGCAAACCTTAGAATGCAAAAACAAAACATAATTTAGGAAGAGATACAAATGAGAGGGCTGTCACTTTTCGCCAATTGTAACAAACCTAAGAGCCTGAGAAACCCATGTAGCCAATAAAGTAAGAGGGAACCTTTTAAAATGGCTTAATATAAACACCAGCTAGAAAACCACCACACCCTTTAAGCTCAGGGGATCAGAAAGCTAATATATGTTGGGGCACAACTCCAAAAACGGTCTGCATTAGGGCTGCACGATATTGGAAAAAACTGACATTGCGATATTTTCTTCCCCTGCGATATATATTGCGATATGAAAATATACAGGAATTGAAGAAAAGACAGTTTTTTTCGCAAACCGTCCTTTCTTGAACTTTAATGCTATACAATTGGTATTTTTTTAACTATATTTAACCGGATGAAGGATTGTAGTCACGGACGTCTGGATCTTAAGTTATCAGAGCAACAAGCTGAGCTAGCTCGGTTAGCATCGCCGAACTGCCCTGGAGAAACACATGAAACGACTTTATTCAGTGTTTTTACCTTTTAATCACCGTCCGTTTGCTTTGGAGATTTGATTGTGATTGGTGGTTTGCTGTCACTCACTCAACTACCCCTGACATGAGAGCCGCGCAACGTTTCCTTTTGTAGCAAGCAGCAAAATAATTGTAACATGACGTGTTTGAGTTAATTTGCCTACTTAATATCGCAAGTCCTAAAAAAAAAAAGAATTATATGTATTTTTTTTTAAATCGCACGTCCTGCGATGTGAATATCGCGCATGTGCATATCGCGATTATCGTCACGACGCGATATATCGTGCAGCCCTAGTGTGAATTTACCAATTTGAACTACTTTTTCCTTCCTCTGAATTGCATAAATATGGAACATACACAATGGTACATATACCAATGTAACCAACACCTCTTGGCCACCCATTAAGAAATAAAGTTCCATTGTCATACTAAAGTCAAAGCAAGAAAATAAATACATTAGCTTGTTTTGTCATTCTAAACTGCGCCAATTGTTGACAAATTACAAAACCATAACAGAGCCAGAAAAAGCAAATGTCCTGAAGTAAATCGTTTTAGATAAGATGTTGAGTCATCTCAAGCTCTAACTTGTTTTGATAAAACCTTAATTTTCAGCTTTCGGTTTCAAAATAATCGAACGAGTCTACACCCACACTGGAACAATCTTATCTCATTATACTGAATATTATTTCCACAGTCATTTGCATTATATTAACCTTTTGAGGCACAACTGCAAAGTCTGTAACGAGTCGTCTCAGAAGAAGCAGAGTGGGTGTGGGAAGCGCTTCTCCAACCGCCTCGGGTCATGGAGAAGGGGAAGGGTTCAAAGATCCAGCAACACTTGGAGTGAACACAGAACCACTTTGTCAGATCAACTCGTTTCGGCTTGTGTCTTGAAAAGTTGTTTTAGTTACTAAAGTACATGTTGCTTCTCACACACAAATTCAGTTTGCTAACTTTCGTGATCATTTCAGATGTGTGGCATTTTGCAAAGGGCAACATTAAATCAGGTTACAATAAAGTATTAAAGAGGCCCTATAATAATTTTAGGAGTTTTCCTTTTGCCTTTGTGTGTTATATAGGTTTTCTTTTCTTAGTGACATCCATTTGTAGCACATGTGCTTCTATTGGCTAGCACTCCAACACATTGCACTATATAGGGGCGGGACATATTTGAGCCGTTGACCAATCACAACAGAGCCAACCAAGTAATCAGAGCAGACTGGGCTCTGGTTTCAGACAGAGGGTGAGAAAAGGTGCTGCAGCACAGGCAGTATGAGACAAATAAAGAGCTTTTTAATCATTAAAGCATGGAGACATGTCCCAGTAGAGACACTAAATACAAATGTGAACCTGAAAATGAACAGAATAGGCCCCCTTTAAAAGGCCTTTTCAAGACGATGGATATCAGTCAAACAACGCACAGATTGACACAAAGGCAGAAGGTGGAGGTCATATTGTAGAGCATCTTCACCAAACCCAGTAACAAAATCCCCTTTTCATTAAATGAATGTCTTCAGAAGCTCTAGCCAAGCAAGGGATCGCCTAAACAGATGCACCAAATACCGGAGCCAGAAACACACACCCTTACACTGAATTATACACCGGGGGCAGCATGAAGGCTTATTCAACTTTACTGAGAGCTTTGAGCCCATCCGAAAAGAAGGGTAGCACTGTGATCAGAAAAAGCATGTTGGTTGGTACAGCTGAGGTTATGAGGTTCAATTAAATGAGGAACAACATGTTTTCCAGGAAAGGGTGTCGTGTCAACATGCAAAACAATATTAGACACAATAATAGACTTGAGTATTTGTGATGTGTGTGTGTGTAATAGGTTAATTTAATTATTTTTATATTTAAAAATGTTTTGGAGCATAAGAACTATGCATGTATATATACTGCTATGGCTTTAACAACCACGCGTTGGAGTATATACGGACTTTATTAGCTAGCTTTGTTCCTATAAACAATCTGTCACTGAAATAGCAGTTGGTGACCTTGGTGATATTATTACCATCAAGCCGGAAAATGATGATGAAGATGAAACCTCTAGGGCTCAAACTGCACGTCTCATTTACTTTATGATCTGAAAATAACATCTAGATAATAACCTTTCTCCTCTGAGGCACGTAATAAATACCAGAGAGTTGAGGATAATGTCTCGTTTTGTCCCTAAATGGTCTTTACTGCTGTAAGTTTAATTCTGGCCAAATTTGAACATGTAAAAAAGGGGGTTCATCTGCTCAAATCCGTTTTATTCCCCGCAGCAAACGGAAAGTTCTCAAACGTCTCGCACAGACTCTGCATAGCTTCGAGACGTGGCAGGGTTTTAACTCCTACCTTTTCAGTAACCTCGCTTCAATCACCCAGGGTTCTTGTTCCTGCAATGAATAGTTGTCGTGCCGGAACGCGAGTCGTTTATGAATGCCTTGACTGTGACTCTGAGAAGGATTAGTCTCCCCCGCCACGCCACAGTTCATTTAACTCGGCTTAATGCTGCGTCAGCACCGGGACAGAAGCTGGGGACAAGTCATTTGTCAGAACAAACTAAGGGGGAAACTTTCCAGTGAAGTGTTTGTTTGGGAGGGAGGGGGGGGGGCACACAGGCCAAGCTGGCATTCAGACTGAAGAGGCTGGTCGTCAGGCCTGGCACGAAACATCAGGGTACATTTATTTTAGCATCTATTTTAACTGCCGCGGGAGAAGCGTTAGCTCAGATTTGCTGTATTTTTAAATAAATCGTAGCAGTAAGATAAACAAGGGAAATGCCACAAATGGGGATTTTTAATTTCTATAATTTGCATAAAGTACAATAAGCTCTTATATATCCTTGAGGTTTTTAAACTGCGTATATCTATACATGTTAGTTTCTCTTTCAAGATTCAATCACATGCTTCATTGTAATGTGCACTATGGTTTCGGTGAGGTTTTTGCATTGAAAATATTAAGTCACAGGTTCTTCAAACAATCCAACATAGGCATGCAAAGTTGTTCAAAGTCAAGAAAATACAATTTATAAAAAATTTTGGGGTCACATTATATTAAAAGTACAGTTTTTCAAATCATATATTTTTAGAGACCCGAAAATGACAAATGAAATAGCAAACAAAATTTGTCAAAGTAAAATAAAAACGAAAAAGTACACGGGGGTTGTTTGAAATGGTAAATGTCTACACATGTACATATGCATACATATCAACATACATATATACATACAATACACATACATGTGTCCATACACACCTATACATTCAATCGGTCTATAGAAACAGTCAAACAAGGGATGGTCGTCTTTGGGAAAGAAAATACAATTTCATAAAATAGTCAAAGCGATTTAATGCTGCAAATAAAATCTGTGAATAAGAAAGAATACTATAATTAAATATTTTACAATAAAATAAATACTTGATACTGTAAACAAAAAAGTTAATTATCTACCATTTAACAATTACAAATGATTGATGAAATACAAGAGATGCCATTCCTAAATAATCAATAGTTATTTAGATTTTAAAAACTAAACCCTCTGTTAATATCTATTCAGTGAAATGAAATTGAGTTAATCCAATATTTATAACAGTTCACTGGTAAAAACGTATTTATATGCTTCTTAATAATTAAGTTAAGGCCCCACATCATTTATAAAAGAAGGAACTGGTGAATGAAAATGGCACCTCCCATTCTTGGCCTGTAAGAATAAGTTTAAAAAAACTCCCACACAGCCTCCTCGGGGGATGGAAAAAAGGAATGGAAACCTTGTGGAGAGGGATCCTCCTGCAGGAAAGTCAGGCGGGTAGCGCTCCATTGTTCAAGCAGAGGAATTTACCTCAAAGTGACGGCCTATTATACAGCCTGACTTCACCTGCTGTGATCTGTTTTCTTCAGGAAACGCGTCTGAAAGAAGGAATCGTCCGACTCCAGCCTCAGGAAGAACCTCTGCGCTCGGAGCTGCTCAGTGGAAAGTTCACAGTGTTGGTAAGAGTCATTTAAATCTCCTCTACTTTGTATCCCTTAAGAGAAACAGATCATAACAGAAACAATGTATCCTACTACAAGTCAAAGTACTGTCTGTGTATCCTCCTATAGCTTATTCCTCCCTCCCATGAGCATCCATTGTTGTTCAAAAACGATTGAAAACACATGACCAATGAGACAGATTACTGCTCTGTCTCTTGTTCAGTCATTACTATGTTGAATGGCTTCTTTAGTTATTTTCCTCTTGATCACACACACACACACACACACACACACACACACACACACACACACACACACACACACACACACACACACACACACACACACACACACACACACACACACACACCGTAATGTGTGTTACTCCGCAGTTGAAAATAGTCCTTAACAAATGTACATGTTGTGATATAGTGGAAGTAATGAGGCCTCTATTCAAACTGAAAGGATACTTGTGATCTGCTTTAAAGGATTTATATCTCTAGTAGGAATAGAGTGAGAAATGAAAAGACATGCATGGCTGGTTTTGGTATTTTTATGGAATTTGTTGATAAGAAAAAATTAAGGAAAAACACAAAGCTTTACAATTTGATGTTCAAATGAAGATGTTGCATGCTTATCACTTTTGGGGGATTGGTGCTGCTACTCTGCTCTTGATTTCCAGACTTTTTAAAAAGGACTTTGGTTCTGTATTGAATAACATAGTTCAGGTTTAGAAATAGCTAATAAAAGAAGTACCCTTAGTTGCATGGTCTCACCTTGTAGTCTTCTTTCTTTCTTATGTGTAGAAATGTAAGCTCTTCTAAACTTGTCAATGAAATAGCTAAGCTCGAAGGTCAATAAATCAATAACTGGCACCTTAAAGGTTCCCGAATGTTACGAGCCTATTTTCCATTCACCAAAAAAGGTGTATCCGAGTATGAAAGCTGAAGTTCTCATAATGGGAAATTAAGAGGTATTTTTGGGTGCAAGATATTGATTGAGTGATTTGCCAAGTGCACTTCCTGTGTCCGATCTATTCAGCCTTTTGTAAGCCAAATCAAAACCGTAAATGATGCCCCCTTTCCACACACACACCCAAACACACACACACACACACACACACACACACACACACACACACACACACACACACACACACACACACACACACACACACACACACACACACACTCCTGCGTTTCCCTTCTTCCTTCCCCGCTGACGTGCCACAGTGGCATTGATGCTGCACATCCTCCTGTGTGACGTCGGAGGTCTCCTGCTCAGCAGTGGGCTTCATATCCTGCCTGAGGGTATTTTTAGCCGCCATGCCCGGGAACACGGTCTTATTTGCTTACAAAGGACGGCTCCCTGTAATCTTTCTCCTGTGGCTTCCTTCAAGTGAGAAACCTCCAGTTCTCCTGACACCAGCAGCCTTAACACTCATCAGCTTTGACATGAAAAATATGTTCTGTGTCACTCTGA